TTATTATGAATAGAAAATTTTTTTTCTCCGTGGTGTTTTTGTTAAAGAATATTGACAGTAATTTATCTAAATATTGTTAACGACGCTACTAATTAGATTACAGATAGAGTTTCGTATATTCACAGAAGATTTTGTATGACAGCATCGAGTTAAAAATAGACAAAAAGAAAAAAGTTTTCTATTCATTTATTTGGTAAATAAAAAAAGCTGTAGAAACTATCGTCCATTACAGTAAAACAAATATTTTCAAAAAACAACAGACTATCTCTTAACTTTCCATAGAGAATTGTGGTCAAAATTTTGACTGACATAAACCAAAGCTAATATAAGAGTTCGATAAATGGTTTCAAAACTATTTCTGTACTTTCTCACATGTCTTGTATTGTTCCTTCACAAACTATAAAATGAAGTAAATGATAAGGATGTCCTGTATAACTGTTAAAGCACAGATGAAAACGTGTTTTGATATTAGATAAAGATATATTTTGTTTTATTTTATTTTAGAATGCTACAACAGAAAAATCCTCCGTCCATAGTTATACCAATCCATTTTCACGATCAAGTGTTGAATCTGAATTAAATAACACTCATTTAAACAAAACGAAACATCGTCAAAGTCAAAAAAGACAAACGTATGTGTTCATCCATCAGAAAAATAAAAAATATTTTTCTTTCCTTCTATATCATTATCATCAACATTACAGTTGTAATCTCTGCATAGTTTTTCCTTCGCACATCGGTGTTGATATGCGAGAAGGCGATAAGAATACGATTATTATGCAATCAAACGATGTGATGTTGAGAGAACAACGTTAATACGAGGTCAAGAGAAATGATATCATTGCCCAGTGCACCTTTTTTTTTCTTCTAAAATATCAATTTTAAGGTATTTATCATTAGGCCTTGACGGTGACGATAAAAAATAATAAGACTTCCTATAATTTCCTTAAAAATTAATTCCACTACATATAACAGTTAAAGTACATCGAAATGAAGAAAGTTAGTTAAAATATTATTCAGATGTGCATTCGAAAATTGTTTAGGTTTAAATGTTGTTTCTATATAACTTGATCTTTAAAAATAAAATAGTAGAAGTTAGTTTTCAGAAAAAAAATGTTGTTTTTACCAAAATTATGATCAGTTTAGAAAGAATTGGAACTGGCACATTTTTGAATTTTCTCGTTTCAAAATGTTAAAGTCGCAGTTCATTTTGAATACTGGATCATTTATAAACGATGATCTTTAATTTTTTTCACCGTTTCAATATCATTCTTCTACTCACACTGACTTCAGTTTTGGGGAAAAAAATTTATTTTGCCAATTGATTTATCATATTGATGGTGAAGGTGCCTAACTAGATGTGAAGATAGATCATAGGATTTTTTCATGTTGAAACAGTTTCTAAAAAATAAGTTTATCAACACACAAACAGTCTTTGATATTATTGTATAATCACATTGACAGGATGGCAATAAATAGAATGATTGATTTAACAAATGTTCAGATTTAGTCTTAACAACGTTGTAAGAGAATTCGTCACTGTTATCTTGATTAATCTTTTGAATAGGCAAATAAGTCACACGTTGTTTTGGTATCAACGACAGCCCAAATAGTAACCCAAGTGTGTTGAACCTTTACATTTCTTCCTATCAATGCAAGTTCCAATACTTTATCACTGACAGAACAAATAGTTCTTAATGAAATGTGGAAAAATAGAATATAAATACAAATAAGATTGAATACAAAAATATGACGGCAAAACACATTCGTAGTGCTGTTAGTTCATAAGATAATGTAAGCAATTTTCTAGCTCTCTACAAATGACTGATATATCTGCTGCTGGTTGCTGCGCTTTATTTTTTTCATGACCTTCATCGAACCCATCCACTTCATATTCTCTTCGCTTCTATTTGTTGTTGTCTAGAACGTATTCAAATGCATGTGAAAAGTCACCAGTTTCAAGCTGTTCTTCTTCATAACGATGGTGTGTATAGTCCTACTAATCGCTGAGGTTTTTATCCTTCACTTCTTCACTGTCATCAGTAACTAGACCACCATTTAACGGTAATGTAACAATGAAGTTACGTACGAATGAAGTCAATCATCATCATCCGATTAATTAACGACAAAGTTTCACCTTACGAACGAATCAATCTCATCATAGCATTTCCATCCTACTGTGTATGAGGTTCGGCAAAGTGAACTCCATTTTGTCCGACGGAGTTACTGTACTCTAATCAGTTCGTTGTTCATATACTCCACCAGATACTACTTGTTACTATTTTAAAACAGAATAAAGAAAAACTGAAATCTTTTTCTAGTTTGTGTAAACAATTTATTAACTGAAATTGATATCATTCTTTGTATTAATTCTAGTGATTCAAGCTCATTGATCAATACGAACTACAAAGTCGATAATTATTCACCTCAGAATCAACATACATATGATTCATCTACTACTCTCCAAAGCGATCAGTTGGCGTTCAGTGGAATCACCATAAAAGTATGGATTTATTTTATGTTATCATTACGCTCACAGGATGTTATTCATCATTACAATCCTATACTGTTGAAGAGTCACGTGATTTTTTCCTATTTGTCTGATTAAATGAGTGTAAAAATATTCGTGTTAGGTTGTGAAAACGTTTAGCCTATATTTTATCTTTTCAACTGCAAGGTTAGTTTGATGTTTTTTCTTTGTCTATAACGAACGCATTTCATCCATTAACAAACAGACAACTATAGTTACAGACCTATTTCTGAACGTTTGTTTTGCCTTGAGATATAAAATACCAATAAATAAGATATACAATAAAGACTACATTATATTATTCACTATATGGGATACAGTTCAGATTGAGACAAAGATATGTCAGTCAGTACATACGGTTTAATTAAAAATAATTTTTTTTCTCGTTTAATTGACAGAAGAAAAGAAATGAAGTGTGTTCATGCTTGTGTTAGAAACCATATGAATGAACATAAAGTTGGTTGTAATCGTGCGTAAAACGTGCTGTCGTAACTATGCTGATGATGATTTCAGATATGTAATATTAGCAGAGATAACGAAGAATAAAAGAAATCTATTTACACTAATTTTACTTGAGATAAGAAAAAAATTGCATAATATACATGACATAGTTTAAACAACTTTCTGCAAATCAATATTAACCTCGTTTCTTCTGACTGATTCTATATAGATTAACTAGTTTTGAGTGAAATACATAATGGATGTCGAAAAACTGATTAAACACTGGATTTTACGAAGATCTATGTTATTCTATTTATTACATATCAATCTATCAATAAAGAGGTCAAATTAAATTGAAAGTGTGTCGTGATAATATGCTGTCGTTAAACTCGAGTAATTGTTCTCTCTCTCTCTTTTTCTGTATATCAACGTCTATAGCATCCCTATATCGATATAAAATATTTGTCTCGCTATTGAAATATATAATAGATGAATAAATCAATATGATGACAAATCTCGCTTTCCCTTATTGTCCTCATATAAGACATAGTGTTGCATAGACATAAAGTGTTGTTAATCGCATCAATGAATCACATTTTTTTGCTAAAAGCTTGCCATTTGTTTTAGAAAACTTTTCTTCGTTGACCACATTGAACACGGCTTAGATCTCGTAAGTTTTTCGCAGCCGATTCGATTTGTTTACGTGATCGATGAATTATAGACAGAGTAACAGTAATTTTAGACATACATGAAGGTAAACATTGAAATTCGATAGACGATCTTCTTCAAGTATGACTCAAATAGAAAGGAAGACGTTGTAGGTATTTCGATACTCTGGGAGAGAAAAACCATCAGTTTTAGATATTCTTGTGATTATTGTAATAAACAGGCATTATGTTCCCTCAAGGATGTATACTTTGATGTTTTTACAACAGTCATATAAACTATTGTTTGTGATAAATATAACATCTGTATACAAATTTTCTTCCAGTTATCCTTCTCATTATTTAGACTATTACTATTAAAACTCTCTATGAAAGAAAAATGATCAGATGAAAAATCAAATTTATGAGTTCGATGTTGCGACTCAATATTCTGACTTATCTAATCCGATCCGGCTCTCTCCATCAATATAAAGGACAATAGCGTCCAAAATATTGAAAATACTTTTTAGAACATTGAAGACGGTTGAGTTGTGTGAAATGTAGACTGTTCGCGACTATATCTCGTATTTTAAGTGACAATAAATCTAAAAAAAATATTAAAATTCTTAGAATAGGGTACGTAATAGGCCGTTATACTTACGTATAAAATGATTTTTGTTCTAATCAAGTTAAGCTCATAAATATGAACATTTGTTAATCAAATATTTTTCTCTTCATCGAAAATTCTTTTGTCATTTGATTATATAAATCTATCGAATAATAAAAATAGATCAAAATAGTAGTGTTTTGTTAACAAATATTGTTCAAACAATACGACGCAAACGATACAACTTTGTATTGTGTGTATATATATATATTGACCGGTCGGCAACTTTTTTTATTGAACAATTGCCTTTGTTACATTTCCTGTATGCACAAACATACACATGCACAATAAACATAAAAAACCGTATAGAATTAAAAACAGACTCAGACATCTCCCAAGTGGCTGACTATTCAACAACACTGAGTGAACGGAAATGATAGAAGAACAAAAAGAAATTTTTCTATGTAAGGTCAACTGATGCGGTAATATTTAATAAACTGATCGCCTATATATCGCTGTCATCACCACTCATTGATCGAACGGTGACACCAATTTTCACTGACAGCAGAACAGAATTCCTCAAGGTGAATCACATCTATATTACACCAAAGACTGTTCATAATGAATATTTTCAAAAACAAAGTAATTTTGATTAGCACAGCTGTATTTCATATATATATAGTAGAAAAACGGTCAATTTATCTCACTATTTGAAATAGCTGTTGTTCAACCTTTTCCTTGATTAGTAGCACACTATAGTCCGTATATATATGTGTGTATGTGTCTCTCTGTATGTGATCAAGTGAACATTATTATTCAGACTTAAACAGAAGAAGAAAAAAAACAATTAGCATCTTTTTTATGTGTATGCATATAGGATATTAGTGGTGAAAATTACATCATTTATTTTCTTATCCACTAAAGCCCTTTCGGCAAGGTTTTATCATCCTTGACTATGTCTTATATTTATTCATTAATATAACGTATTTTCACGTACATTACATTAAAGAGTGTAGAGTTATATCTAGATGAATTAACATCAATTTATACATACAGAAGAGAAAAACGATAAAGATCTTTAAAGTTAACCTAAAGCGCTCATAAAACTGCTTACCTGTATCAATAGAAGAAGTGTTTCTTAAATCGCATACAGCTATAAAAAAATGATGACCAAATTTCTAGTGCATTTTTGAACAAAATAACAACAACATTATTTCTTATTTAAGGATGTTATACTTCGTCGAAATGATCCAAATGAGAGACTTGGTCTTACTTTATGTTATGGTATAACTCCAAGTGCCACAAATATTTACATACAAGATGTAAATTACAGCTCAAAAACACATTTATCTTCGATATCACAGATTGTTTAAATTTTAGGTTGAACCCGATAGTGTTGCTCATCGTTCGAATAGTCTTCGAACAGGTGATCAAATATTAAAAATAAATAATAAAGAAGTGAAAAGTCGTGATGAAGCAATACGTCTAGTACACAATGTTTGTATAATTATACTACAAATACTTCGATTTCAGGTAACATTACTTGTATTCCATTAAGGAGGCTATCTTCTCTCATCGAAAAAACGATTTTCCACATGAATAAAATACTCTCTTTCAGAATCTATATCGCTCGATACTAAGTTTTGTCTGCTTTCTGACATTTCTTGTCAAGTTTTCTGATTAACAACTCATGTGTTTTTCAGAAGTGAAGACCAGCTTTTTTAAGGTGAAAAATATTCAAAATCATTCGTTCTGTTTCAAGAGTAATACATTCATTTACAGTAATCAGATGTATAGATTTCTTCTCATCTCCCCCTTAGTTTCGAGAAAATTTACCATTTCCATGGTCACACCTATCAGCCAGTTGTTCTTCAAACAATGAGAAGAAATTAATACCTATAATAAAGTCAAATTACTGTAATACAACAACATCGTCGGATGTTTATATTAACAATGCAAAAGAAGGTGATAGTGGTGTGCTGATGGCAACAGACACGGAAAATAAATCAAAATCGTTAACTTGGGTAAATGCCTATGGAAACAATGGCGTAGACACGAAATGACACTAACCGACTATTCTTTTACCTTAGCACTCCAGTCAAAATCTCAATAATAGAAGATATTTACCTACACGTTTATCATTGAACTCACAATATGAACAGCGGTTTTCATCGACTAATTGCTGTTCATGTCGAAGATGTCGTCTCATTCGCTTATACTCTAAAGAAATTCGTTATCGTCGATGTATATCACTGAACGATTTTTCATTAGTTCATGATGATACGATGGTATTACGAAAAACTCCTTCACGTACAATAGCAGAGGAAAGTAGAGCCTCAATACCTAGTTCAAGAAGTTTAATATTTCATAATCAAAGTGCAATTTTAAAACCATTACCATTTCGCAATGACACGCAAAATGACACGCAATCAGATGAAATTGAATCATTATTAATTCGTGAAGATTTTTATCCACATGATGTATTTACTACTATGAAGTGTGATAGCGACAGTGGTCTAGGTCAACAATGTGAAGAATCAACAACTGCCACAACAGTGAATAATACTGATCCACTTCTGGCAGCTATTTCATCGCCGGTGGTTCTCAATTGTTATTCAACATTATCTGTAAAAATGCCAAAAATTCAACCACCGCCAACTCCAACTCAGTGGTCATTTAAATACATTGGTACTCGTCAACAACGTTTGCTGTTGAGAAATCGTATTTTACGTGCAAGAGAAAAGCGAATATTAGAAGAACGATGTTTAACAACCGATGAAGAATATATGTCTGAATTAAAAACAGGTAAATATTGGACAAAAAATGAACGTAAACGACATTTACAACATGCAAAAGAATATCGTCAGCGACAAAAATTTATGATGAAATCATCCAAATTATTAGCGTCATCCCGAACATCGTTATCGACAACAACAACACGTGAAGATGATTACGATTTATTAACGAGAATATTTTTAAGAACAAATGCTGGTGAACAGATGAAAGAAAATTCTAATTTATTTCAAACATTTTGTCAGCAACATGAGATTGAAAAACAAAATTTAATTAAAACACATAGTATATCAAGTACAAGTATGGGAACCAGTAGTAGTATAGATACATTTGTGATATTATAAAGAAGTTTTTCTACTTTAATAAATTAAGCACAACATTTTCGAAGAGTGAAAAAGAAATCTACAGAATTTTCTCAATAACTGTTGTGAGAAGGCAAATAATTTTACTAGTACCATGTACAAGTGGTTTATACATTAGTATGCCACTGTTCTTTAGAATTTGAATAGAATTGGATAAGAAGAAAATACTCAACATTAAGTCGAGCCAGGTGTTGTAAAGTGCAATGGGAACGCTTATGCCTCACCTCCTCCACATACATGCACATTTTAAAGAACTGTTGATTCAGAAAAGAACTAGAGGAACGACAAATCGATAAAACTAAAATAGGATCTATGACTCAACCACTGTGAATCACCTTCATTTCACAAACAAATTTACATTACAAGGATTGTTAGACATAAAATTTAACGATTTAACGAGGATAAATTAAACGGTTTTTATATCTTACAACTACAGTCAAATGTAACAGAGAACAAAGTCACTGGAATTAGTGTAAATCATATCAAACACATTACCAGTGTATAGTCGTATATGTTATTTCCCTTGTTTTCGAGCTTCAGTTATGAGCTTCAGTTGTCTGTCCGTAGTAGATGTACCTGCATACGAATACTCGCTCCAAGTACCCTCGCAAGTTTTATCCAACATACGTGGAAATTTTCGCAAGTAAATCTAGAACTTAACAAGAAAGTCGAGTACTCAAATTATTTTACCTTCTTGTTAAGTACGTGGCCAAACACTTATTCAAGTAACTCATGAGTATCTGCAAGAAATCCAACAAGTATAGGCATGCAGCGGTTACAGCTGACAGAAATCGGTCGTAACCGAAAATGTTGCACAGGTTCTTGAAAATACGTTTGACACAATATGAAGGAAGCATCTGTTGTTCAATCAACAACTGTTCATCCCGGAACAAAAATGCACGGTGTACAAAATCAGAAATAAGCCAAATAAGTGGTATTTCTGACTTTTCACCATGAAGGAAGGGTTTCTCGAAATTTTGCTTAGATAACAAAAGTATGGCAAATTCAATTTCCTAGACTTTATCTGCTGGATGTACCTTTATACAAATCGATCATCACGATCAAAACTGATATTTACTGCTTTTCAGCTATACCAACTTTTCAGCTATACCAACAAAAACTCAAATTTAAATTGAAAATGTAATAAACAAATAAAGGACAGATTTTTACCCGATAGGTAAGCATACTATGAAAACATGGTTTACTTCAGTAGGAGCCAGCCAGACCCTGAAGTAAAAAGCCGAACGTCCGAAAACAGATTCTGATAGCGTAAGGTTAGTAGTATATACTGACAAGATTTGAAGCTTATCAACTTGCACAACCCAGAGAAATCCATCATCGAAAATAGACACCAAACTGGCGTGCCACGGCTTCCCTTGAATCGAAAAGTTTTTTTGAGTTGATAGATGTGTAGTACTCGTTGTCTAGTATATAACCACCAAAAATCTCGATTGGAAATGTTATTGGTGAATTATGTCAGATCATACAAAAAGTCATAAAACGTGTGGAATAGAGTGATGTGTCAAGATAAAAAATTTATGCCCGATCAATGAAACACCACTAAAGACTAAAAATTTCAGAATATACTCAACTTTAATAGGGCTACAAACCCGCGAAATCAGAATTAAATTAAACAAAAAAAATTGAGCACACTAGGTCGCCGCTATCGTGCAATTACTCCTAAGCTGCTCAATCGATATCCAGATTTTTCGTTGAAACCTTCTTGAATTTTTTGACCGGAAGTTATACCTTTGGCAAGTTATGAAATTTTCGTAAAAGTCCTAAAAACAGCCGAAAATAATAACTATACAAAAATGCAATTTATTTTGTTTACATCTCGCTCTAGAAAGTAAGCATTCATAAAAGCAGAAAGAAAAAGCCACCGAAAGAAAAAGAGAGATTATCATTTTATCAATAAATTACAATTTTGAAAAAAAGATTTGTGGAAAGAACTCTGTCTTTATATTTTTCACACTTTTTGGAAAAAATAAATATATCTCAGAAGTCACGAAGGATAGTTGAATAAACGCTGAAATTTTCGTCAAGTTTGAAGAACACATATAGTGGGAGATTTCTGGTGGAATCACCCAATATATCTGGAACACAAAACAAAAAGTTTCGACTAGGCATCTTCTCGATGACTTAGACATAGTACCCAAGTGAACAGTTACCTATGTGTACAAGCGGAAGTCTCTCATTGAATAGAAAAGTACACTGGCGCAAAAGAAAGCGAACATCACTAACAAAATATATCCTAGACGGGAATAAAAACCATATGAGATTCAATGTGAATAAATACCATGTATTTACATAGAAATGAAGTAGTAGCCTGATACAGACAGTTAGAATCGATGTTGGCTAGAGACAGACAACTGCATAAACATGAAGACTGAAGCGAACCTGCTATAGAAACAACGATGTATTAAGACTTGATATTGTTTCCAAAGTTCTTAATGAGGCATGCCTTCCTATGTAGCAAGTAGAGGCATCAAATGACTGCTTTAGTTTCAAGATTAGCGTTCAAATTTTCGCTTTTAATCTTCTTATTTGGAGACTCCTGAATCTGTCTGAGAGAGATCTTTTCAGTCATGGATAAACAGGGAAGTTGATATGTAATCATTCAATCCGAGCAGTATCACCAATGCTGGCGTACTCATACGACATGGAAAAATATTAATTGCAATCAACTGTGTATATTTTCTTTCTAACATTAGCTACTTTCGAATATTCTATTAGAAATTACTATCGGTTCCAAAATAGAAGAACAGTAGTTATTTTTTGAATAACCCAGCATCAAATAAAGATAGAGGCTTGTGGCTTTCACCACTCGATAGCCAAGACTCGAGGCAATCTTTCTACAAGCAAAATCGATTTTCGGAAAATGCTTCGGATCTTTGGAAAACTAGCTTGGATTTTACGAAATTCAAATAGGGATCTATTGGTTTTTTTGGGAGCATATATCGTCCGAAGTGTCCTCTACGAAACTGAATCCGAGGGACATCTTAAAAATCCATGATTCGGGAACTATGAACATTTTTCCTGAAGCCTTAACACTCCTCTGCCGTTAGGTTGGGGACTGTTAGAAATGAATGAAACCATAGATTATCGACTATGTTGAATCTCCTTGCAATGTTAGTTTTCAAATGAATTTTGACGGAGTTATGAATTTCTTTATTTTTAATGAAAATACTCAAAAACTGGGCTATTTCACCTAGTATAGGTTTTCACTCAATTCTTGCAATTTGTTCTGAAAACTAGCATTGCCACGAGATTCAACATAGTTGATAACCTATGTTCTCATTCATTTCTGACAGTCACAAATCTAACGGTAGAGAAGTGCTGAGGCTTCCAGAAAAAGGTACATAGCTCCCGAACCATGGATTTTCAAGGTGTCGCTCGCTTGTATTTTGGAACCGATAGTAGTTTCTAACATTCGCATTTAATCTAACAGTGACACAAACATTTAAGAACCGTGTCACGATGAACGCAGTTAGAAAATATCATCCTGTCTTTGTTTGAGAAAAACGTCTTGGTGCTGTATGGAATTGAAACATGAAATACCTGTTATTCATGTAATCGAACGAATATTTTATCCTTTTAAGCACACGTTAATCAGGCACTTTAACCCATTCTGTGTCGATCATCAAATGTAACGTGTATATCAGTATCATTTTCATCTAGTGAGGCATCTGATTGATTATTAACTTCATAAGTGGGTTCATGATTACCCAAACACTCTTCTGGTTTTAATAAACGTTGCTGTCTATTTGTTACTTTCCTATCCGAGAATAAATTACGATCAAAACCGAATGTAATTGATTGATGCTGAAAAAAGTCTATAATGATTTACTTAATGAAATTTATTAATTGTTTTCGGAATTGGCCATATTTCAAATAAATGTGCCAAATCTTCATCACCCGCATGACGTCTTAATCGTACAATAACACCAAGCCAGAAAATTAACAAATTTTGAATAAGAATTTTGTATTTTATGCTTTTTTCTCGTACCACTTGTTAATAGGCCTTTATCGGGTATTTCTTTTCGTATATTGTCTTTACAATTATAATAAACTGTTGACCATGTTTTGAATACCCTTTTTCAAAAAGTATTACTGTCGGCTAGCGTTGTAACATAAACTACATTTATTGCAAAAATGATAGGAAATTAGCATGCTTATACATTTTCACAGATATACTCCACTTAAGTCTCCCCAAATTTAACAAAGCAATATTTGCAAAGCACAGAAAAGGGGATTTTGGATATTGTGGATTACAGCTTGTTCGACTGTGGCTGGTTGAAATTTGAATATCTGATCCATTCAAGTGAGATTTTCTGAAGAGAAAATTATTTATTTCAATTTGGAATTTTGATTCTCGCTAGGCTTACGCTTTATTTGCCTTTGGTCATATTGATCTTTTTTCTCTATCGTAGATCACACTCATCATAACAGGACTCGTCTGTTTGCGAGTTTGCGAGTTGCACTTTATCCTCACAATAAAGAAAAAATTCGAAGATTTGCAGATGAACACATTTTATTGAAAATAAAATGAAGGAATCATGCGCTCACGATCTGACATCTATGCAGTTAACACAAAAAGTGTTTCGTTGAGTTTTTCGGCTAAAAGCTGTAAAATTGCCCTTCCTTCCCGGACTAACTTCCGGTGCTTAGACATTGTCGGATAACACTTGTCAATGGCAGTAGTCACATCGGTGATGATAGTGTTTCGATCCTCTGGATGCACACACGACACTAGTACTTGCTTGAGTGTTTGCATGATTTACACGACGTTTTGCCGGGTATGACCAGTGGAGATCAAGAATGATTTCAACTCGTCAATATTGTTGCCATAGTTCAATTCGAACAATTTACGCATGGAACCGTCAAAAGGACTTTCGTTCAGTTTGGGGAATTTCCTAAGTTTTGCCTTCATTTGCACACTCATCGACCCGATCAGCAGGTGTGACTCAGACACAGTAAGGCGTTGTATATGCGCTGATAACATATCGATCTCCTTTTGGTGGCATTTCAGTTGAGGAAAAATGTTATTTAACACATCACGACTAGAGCGTGGGTTAATTGTGAGTAGTTTGATACCAAAAACCATATTCCATCCAAAGCGTCATCCAATCTTTTCTGCAACGGTTGAAAATCATCATCGTCTGGCATCGTTTCTTGCTTCTCTTGCGACTCGATTTGCCCATTAGGACACTTGCCATTGCAGTTGCTAGCTTTTCACTCGACATCGTGGATAGTTCAGTTTCGTATGCTATTGCAACGTTCAAACTTTGAGCCTTGTCTTGCTGATGATCATCTCAGAAATGATTGAGTACAGTTTTTGTTTCGTTGTAGGCACGACTGGCAGACGATGGAGCACTTCACCCAAGATGACCAACTTCGAAGTTCAATAGCTTTTAATAACGGTGAAAAAGTTTATCTTCAGCCATTTTCACTTTGCAAGTCTCTGATTAACAGCATTCACACTAAAATTGTCCTTCCGCGTCATCAAGAAAATCCTCATCGATTTTCTAGACAGTAAAAAATAATTCGACTTTTTGATTTTCGAAAGTCCATATATAAAATTCCTGAGGATTTTCTATAAATAATTCCCACCAAGCTACGAAATCGATGTCGATTTTCCACATTATTGGAAATTCGATTTTCTATAATCTGGAAAATCCGTGAGGATTTCATATATGGACTTTTTGAAAATCGCCGAGTATTTCCTATAAATAATTCCCTACTTTACAGTGTATGATATTGTGCACAAGTGAAGACATTTTACAAGCGAAGGAAGAACACAGCGTTTGACCATGAATAGATGTATCACACAGCGAGATAGAAGCAAATTCTTCGAAAAGCGGACTCAAATTACACGTTCAAATGTTTTAAAGCTTCTTAAATTTTTAGATATATCCAGGAAAAGCACGTGCCATCGCCGCTTGATTGCTTGCTGAAGGACATATTTGCGAAATCAATCACGTCTTATACAAAAATGTTCTGAAATAAATATAGAAAAAGAGTGCATCCTACTTTGGAGACCAATGATTTGTATATCTAGATATTTATGAACTAAATATTTTTCTCCTTTGTACTACTATTTCGATTCCCTTCAAACAACCTATCGTAACTGACAGACTTAACGAAAATATGTTAATATTACATTGTTGTTGAATTTTGATTCTGATCGTATGCTGTGAAAGATGACGCTTGTAGGTGTTAAAAATCATCTTCAATGGAAATTTTTTATTTATCTATATCATGAACATGTTTCTTGTTGTCTCCATTCGCTTCAGCTGATGTTTATATTGTGCACGAAAGAGAAAAAACGATACAGAAATGTTATTTGTTTATTCTAGATAAATAATCACATTAGGATTAAAGAAGATGACACTATTTTTACTTCTTTCTAAAAAATTAATATAGAGTTCACGCAGGCATCTTAATGATACATAATGGTTACAGTTAGAATAAAATGAATTTATTCGAAAATATCTGTGATAATTGTGATATATTTTCATAAAAGTCGATGACAACGAGCAACAATCAATTAAGAATTATACTCTTTCATTTATGAAGTCAATCTAGTACATCTGTCGAGAATATATTCGATGTTCAACGATAGATATATATTTGAAGAACACAGAATAACTAATAAATATAAGTTTATAATTATGAAAAATATTTCATTTCATTATTTGATGAATAGCATGTATCATCGACAATATTATCTGGAATATAAATATCCGATCGAATAACATCCTTTACTTTTGTCGAATTCAAAGCAGTTTTATTGTTCATGTCTATAATTGATTTCTGTTCATTTTCACCGTGCCATTTCGATGATTCTTTACCTATAAAAGAGAAACATATAGATGATGAAGAAGTGATGAGATTATTATAAGAAAAAGTTCTTTGATGACGCCCATCACTTAAATAATGTTTTATTCAAAATTAGATAATTGAAAAAGTTTCGAATTTAATTTTCAAGTAATTAATAAAAAACCACATAATGATGTGCGCCCATATCTGAAAAGCAATGGATTTTTGTTCCTACCGTCGAAAGAGTTATGAATTGGACTAAAATTAAGGTACATAAATACTTACTGCATGCTGTATGTTTTTTGCATTCATTTACAGTTTTAACTGTTTTATTTGTTATTGTTGTAATTGATTTCGATTTTGCATCAGTATCTGTTGTTATTGGTTGTTTTTGCCTTTCTTGTTTACGAAATTTGGCGCGTCGATTTTGAAACCATACCTAAAATAAAATTTTAAAATAAAACGTTAAAAATTATATCATTTCATTGTACATACTTGGACTCTCGCCTCTGTCAGATCACTTCTCATTGCTATTTCTTCTCTTGTATACACATCCGGATAATGAGTCTAAACATTAATGTTATACTTTGTAAAAGATAATGAAATGCAGAGATCTTGCACCTGTTGAAATGCTTTTTCTAATTCTCTTAGTTGAATACTTGTAAATGTTGTTCGAATTCGTCGTTGTTTTCTTTTATTATCCATTGATGATGCATTATTGAACGCATCGGATAGAGTTTGAGAACCAAACATTTTATAAGATTGTAAACCTTTAAATACAAATGTGGCATAAGCAGATAATTTTTCTGATTGATAATCAATATTCACATTGTAGTGTCAAAGAGTCATATCGGGTGGCCCAGAACGAATGGCCCTCCTCGTATTTTGCTTATAATTTTTTTCTTTTCAATCCTTAGACCTAACTGTTTTTCTAAAAGATGCGTCGTCAAATTCTCTACAAGACTTGATCAAACTTACTTCTATACAAAGTTAAGAAGAAAAATTAAACGAAAAATACTCAACATAATGAAACGGACCAACTTTCTAAGCCGAAAAAACGTTTTGTTCAACTACTTTCAGTGACTGGATGGTAAAAAGAAAAGAATATACGCATTTTGTAGCTTTTGAAAACCTCCATCAATCAGTATTAGGTGCACAAATACAAAATCGAATCTTTGAGGTACAAAATCATCTTCGTTTTCTCCTCTTTGAGGCTTTGCAAAATCTAGCTATTTAAATGTGTAGATTCGGAGCTCCCAGAAAATGCTGCATAACGAAGCCAAAACAGCACTTTTTTAGCTGGGTCTTTTTTTATTTTTATGAGAAATGACACCTGTGTCAGGTTGTTTAAAGTTAGCTTAAGGCTTTCTTCGTAAATTAACCTGTCGAACAATAGCAGATTTTGGTCACTCTGAGATGAATTTTGGAATGTTAGATTTTTCAGTGTTCACTTAGATGTGAACGAACTGTGAACTGCATATGGAGAAAGAGCGCACTTCAAAGTAATCAAAAATATCTTCATTTTTGTTTCATTGTCTTTAGAATTGCTTAAATACTCTAAAATTTGTAAAATAAAATAGCTCAGAAAGTGGTCCGTTTCATTATGTTGAGTATTCTTCGTTTAATTTTTCTTCTTAACTTTCTATAGAAGTAAGTCTGATCAAGTCTTCTAGAGAATTTGACGATGCATAGGTCTAAGGATTGAAAAGAAAAAAATTATAAGCAAAATACGAGGAGGGCTATTTATTCTGGACCACCCGATATTTGCAATGTTAAACAACTTACTTTGCATTGTTGCTGAATACAAATTTGGATGTCGATGAGGTAGACCAGCAGTAAATGATGTTCGATACATAGAAGCGGCGGCTGATGCCGCTGATGAATGATACGTTCGAAATTGATTATTCGTTGAATTAGCAGCAGCAGCAGCAGAAAATTGAGCAGTACAAGTTGAAAAATCGGTGGATGAATATGGATTATAGGTTGTATCAAAACCGGCTGCTAATGCTGCACCAACAGTATCAAACGGTAAAAAATAACTGTCCATCATAGTTTTGTCCTATTCAACTCAAAAGTGGCATAAAAGTTTTCTTATTCTTATATTCACACTTTCAACACGATGATCAAATATTTCAATATGTTCTCTCGCGTTTATTCTATTAATTTATATATTTGTCTAAATTTTCATCTTACTTATTTCGGGAAAAAAAAAGAAAATAGACTAACAAGTGTTTCTCTTTCTTTCTCTTCTTGTTGAAATTAATTTTTTCCTCAACAACGACTTAGATATAAACACATTGTTTCCCCCTCCGTCTATTTAACAAATTACAATCGTCAATATGGTCATCAAATAGAGACAGATATGCCAAAAACATATTATAATCAATCACTTTAAAAATTGAACGTCCCAGTAGAACATTTTTGATTTCATTTAGAACAATTTCTTATGACATTTCGTTTTTCTCATCTTATCAATATTTCTCTTTGCTGCTGTAATTGGTTCATAGAACAGTATAGCGTAAACGATAAGAATAAGAATTACTATTTGTTCAAATCTTTTCTTATAAGTTAACAATCATAGACATGCAGTGTGTTTTTTTCTTACAAATAAAATGGTAAATACAGATAGTTGTTTATCAAAGTTGACGAACGATTGATTCAAATATCTCTCTTTGACTCAATTTTTGTTGATATAATTTTGTCAAGATTTCTAACATTTATAACACTACATTAAATAGTTAACTGGCAATTGATCATTGAAGCAGTTTTCATCAATTTTGAATATTAGAGGATATTGCAGTTTATTAATAATGAAATAGGCTCACGTCTCTTTTCTATTGACGTCACACTTGTATTGATAATTTTAAATCGGTTTTATTAATTCATAATGAGTAAGCAGAATGTATTATCCATTGTATCTATAATGATTTATTGAGCAACACTTGGCTGATACGAAATAGATAAGATTTAATTCAAAGGGAAGTCGCACAAAATCGTCGCATAGTTAGTGTAAAAGCCTTTTTTAGCTTTCTCACTTGTTAGGAAAAGCAAAAACTTTTGAATTATTGAGTGGAAATCATTTCTAGGATGGTTTATTGGTCGCGGCATTACTACTAAACTCGATCAATGATCTTATGTGTAGCGTATGCTATAACCTTCGTTTGTTCCGTTTACGTGATAAAGAAAAAAGAGCGGTGAGGGACCCTCTTAATCAACATAGCTCACTAGAAACATGTTTTTTTTCTTTTTCCGTTCCAGATCGCACACATTTTTTTTCTATATATTTCCTCGCACTCTCGTATGATTGGTTTATTTCTAAGTGTATACAGCCTATCTGTAAAAAGAAGCGGATATTGAAAAAATTCGAAGACACTTCGATATATATATATATATATATATACATTCATTTCAAACTTGGAAATGTAGAGTCAGATGGAGTAATTCCGGCCACTTGCACAAAATTTCTTAGTATTTTGCGTATTTCTAAGGCGTTTTTAATCGGATAAGTGTGCTATTGAATATGAAGATGGAACTAACAGTTCTCTATCCGCTGATGGAAAAAGTTCCTAAAAATCCCTCTCCATTTTCGACCAGTGTTCAAAAGGAGACAGCGACTTCCAAACCGGTCGGAATTACCCCATGTGGGGTAATTCCGGCCGGTCCATTCAAACACATGGAGTTTTCTGAAACAAACCTCTGCTAATTAACGATAAGTACTAATCAGATAGAAATTACACCAGTTTGAAGCTTTTCTTCTCTTCTACCTGTCATACAAATTTGAAATTATTAGCACCTATTCTAACGAAGTTAATTAAAATATAGTAAGACGTGGTTAGATTTCTGATTTTTTCACTTTTCTCGATTGGAGTAATTCCGACCTGTCAGCTATTTTTCTTGGGGTAATTCCGGTCGGTCCATTCAAATACACGGAGTTTCCTGAAACAAACCTCTGGTACTTTTCAGAAGTAGATTTCTGACATACTCTTCAGGTAAAAGGTATTCGTCATGTCATTATCTACAATATATGTGAAAATTGC